TTTTTAATGACTTTAAAAGCTAAAATTTCTCTTTTTTTCCAGCTTTCAACTCTTCACTCTCTCTCTCTACCCCTCCCATTCTTTGTTTCTCTCTCCTAATTGAAGGTTACGCCGGTTCTACAAAAAAAAAAAGGTTGAAATCTGGGTTTTAAGATGAGTATCTCACTTGAAAGTTGGTTGGAATCTACATTGGTCGTCGAAGGGTTGCTAGGGTTCCTCCAAAATCCAGGGTTGATGCTGAATTTTGGAAACTTGGTCGAAATCCCACTGAAAAAATCAAATTTCGTCGGAAAATTTCATCGAAAATTGAAAATTTTTCAAAAAAATAATCCAAAAAATTTCAATGACACCCTCTTGATAAATTCTGACTTCTTAAATCTATTTCTCTATAAATTTCCCTTCAAAACAACCTTAAAATCCCACAGACTTAAAATCAAAATTCTATCTGGAATTTACGAATTTGCTTAACTTTTCTACTATTGTGTTTTCCATTCTCTAGTTTCTTCTCTACTCTATTGGTACGTAATTTTGTGATTTCTATTTATAGGTAACATTTAGGAGAGTTTCTTATCAACTACGATTCGATCTTCAACAAGAATTTTGTGTTATCATAAAAAAATATATAAGATTTATCCTTTATAGATTAAATCGCATTCTAATTATGATAATACCCATCCTTCTTACGGCAAAACATTTTTTTATCTTTTTTTATTAAATTAAAAAGATAAATAAACTATAAATAAAACAAAAATAAATTTTAAACTCCGGACTAAATGAGAGTCTAAAATTTTCAAGTGAACAAGTTGCATTAATAAGAGTATTAAATTCATTAAAAGTTGTCTCTATCAGTACAGAAGGTTCGTAGCAGCCGGGATTCTGTCCATTTTCAATTTTGAAATTTAAGTTGACCCTGCAATAGACCAGTAAAAAAGGGGGAGAAAAGAACAAGAAGATGGTTCAATCTCAAAAACTTTCTTCTGTTTTTAGCATCTTTATAGGAAGTGTATAGCTACCAATACCATTGAACCATTGATGATTGACTTGAAGCTAAGAGTTAGAATGGAGATATTTGTATTTTGGGTCATTGGCTTCTGCTTTTTGTTATTTGGTAATCGAGTTCAATCCCATGGAGATGACACAAAGCTTCAATCTGCTTCGATGGAGCAGCCTTACAGGACTGCTTACCACTTCCAGCCTCCCAAAAACTGGATGAATGGTTTGTTTTCACATACTTGTTTTGTTTCCATACAGACTGTATTTACAGCATAATTACATTGAAGTGGCTTCATCCCTTAGTTCGATAGAGTTGACTTTTTTTTGTGTCTTTTGACATGTAATCTTCAAATGGGCATTTATGGCAATGCAGATCCTAATGGTAAGCCATTCTTTTTCTTCTTGTTAGGCCGTTCATATGTTATTTTCTAAAACTGATCCATCTATCACAGGTCCAATGTACTACAGGGGAATTTACCATTTGTTCTATCAATACAATCCATATTCTGCAGTGTGGGGTAATATATCATGGGCTCATTCAATATCATATGATCTTGTCAATTGGATTCATCTTGATCTTTCACTTTCTCCGGAGGATCCTTTTGATATCAATGGTTGCTGGTCAGGCTCAACCACATTCCTTTCCAGGGAAAAACCTGTCATTTTATACACCGGAAGTGATACCATGAATCGCCAAGTTCAAAATTTGGCTGAGCCAAAGAACCTCTCTGATCCTTTCCTAAGGGAGTGGGTAAAATCATCTCATAATCCGCTAATGATCCCTGTTGATGGTATTGATTCACAGAACTTCAGGGATCCAACAACTGCTTGGCAAGGTCATGATGGATTATGGAGAGTCTTAGTTGGAAACCAGATGAATGGCCATGGAAGGGCACTTCTGTATCAAAGTCAAGATTTTGTTACATGGACTAGGAGTAAAGATCCCCTTCACTCGTCGACAAGAACTGGCATGTGGGAATGTCCTGATTTCTATCCAGTAGCCATTAATGGCAATTATGGACTTTGACACCTCTTCACTGGAAAGGCTCACAAAACATGTGCTTAAGGCAAGCTTCAACGGCCACGATTACTACATACTAGGAAATTACACGCCCATGACAGATAACTTTTCAGTTGACACTGATTTCATGGACAGTGGTTCAGATTTACGATATGATTATGGTAATTTTTATGCTTCTAAGACATTTTTCGACGGTGCTAAGAAGAGGCGGATCTTGTGGGGCTGGATACAAGAGTCTGAGAATACAACAGATGACATCAAGAAAGGTTGGTCTGGTCTTCAGGTAAAATAACCTTTAATCCTAGTATTTTGTTGTATCAGCTGATACAGTCAAAAAGACAGTTTGCAACATAAATATGATCAAAAGGACACTCTGATTTGGTACTAGCATTATTACAAAGAACAGATAAGAGTGACACTGATGTTAAATCTGCATTCCTGCTAAAATTATTTCTTTTACAAAATCATGAACATTGGTGTTGCAATTTGGTTAGTTTGAAGCTTGTAACAAAACTGGTGTTTTATTTTTAGTCGATTCCTAGAAGCATTCTGCTCAGCAAAACTGGTAAGCAATTAATTCAGCGGCCAGTGGAAGAGATTGAGAAGCTGCATGCGAAAAATGTGAGCTTCAAGAACAAGGAACTTAAGGGTGGATCTGTACTTGAAGTCTCAGGCATTACAGCTTCACAGGTGTTTACTTTATTTCTCAACTGTGCTTAAAGCTTAAGAATCATTTACAGGTGAAACAATAAGTAATTATACTCCTTCATATTACTAAAGGCAGATGTAGAAGTGTCATTCGATTTGTCCAACTTAAAGGAGGCTGAATTAATGGATCCAAGTTGGGTTGATCCTCAACTGCTCTGTAGTAAAAAGAACGCATCTTATAGAGGCAGTGTTGGACCATTTGGAATATTGGTTTTGGCTTCCAAAGACTTGACAGAGCAAACCGCAGTCTTCTTTCACATCTTTAGAAGTAATGACAAGTATGTTGTGCTCATGTGTAGTGATCAGAGCAGGTTAGTTCCTGGCCAAGATTCTTTCCATTTTGAGTTGCTTATGTTCCTCCTAGACTGAAATTACAACTCTTAACAGATCATCTTTAAGGGAAGGACCCAACAAAGCCACCTATGGAGCTTTCATTGACATAGACCCTCTTTATGAAATGATTTCTCTTAGAAGTCTGGTATGCTATCTGCTAAGCAGTTCACTCCTGCTATCTGCCACATTTGATTCATGTTTGAAAAGTAAAAATTTGTTCCTACATTTACAACATTTCAAAGTTTTCAAGAAGATAGCTTCTTGAAATTATGTTCTCTAGCCTGATACCTTGGAATTCAAATTGCAGATAGATCATTCTATTGTTGAGAGCTTTGGTGGGGAAGGAAGAGCTTGCATCACTGCCAGAGTCTATCCCAAGCAGGTCATTCATAACCAAACCTACTTATATGCATTCAACAATGGTACTCTTGATGTCACTATTTCAACCCTCAATGCTTGGAGTACGAAGAAAGCTCAAATAGTTTCTGCCACAAAAAGACGAAAGCCACATCTCAACTGAAACAAAATAGACAAATGCAACCACATTCTTCTTCAGTCACCCTTTCACTAAATAGTAGCTTATGGATGAAGGTGTTGATTCCTTGATGGTGAAACCTTTGAATCATTTCTTTTTTTCTACCTTTTTCTGCAGAATTTTCTAGTTATTGTGGGTATCAGTTGCCAATAAGAAGCCAAAGACTATATTCTCTTCCAATAGCATAGCAGCCCCAAGAAGGCACTATCAGCTGAATATTTTCCACCTATTTACGTAGTACTCTCTGAGAGAAGCTATCCATGCTTCCCACTAGCTTTCCCTTTCACACTGTTGTTAATGCTTTTGCTTTTGCAATTGTACAAAGCATCTTGGCCTTATGCTCCCGTAGGCCGTACCACCTGCCTAGCATTGCCCACAGATTTGGTACCATAGAATTTTAACTCTAAAAAAACAATCTTTGTGATGTTACATTGTTAACCAGCTTCTAATCTTTGTTCACTTTCTAAAATAACGTGACAACATGCATCCACGCCTATTCGTTTATTTATTATTCTCTTAAACTAAAATATCTATAACGTTATGTTTAAATAAATATTAATAAAAAATAAAAATTTTAAAAGAAAAAAATATATATGTAACCCTTGCTTTGGATAATTAAAATTAATAAAAGAAATAAAATAATTTTAACAACTATTATTTGAATAAAGAGTGAAAAAAAATGATTCATTAAAATAATTTTTTTAAATTATAATTTTTTATTGCTTGTGATTTTAGAACATTTTTAGATTATAATATATTTATTATCTTGTCTAATCTCACAATTACTATTATATTAATAATTTTTAATCAAGTGAAATAAAAAGATATTTTATAAATATGCATTGATGAATTTTGAACTAATCTGACATCTCATAATCTAAAAAATATATCTATTTATATTCAACAATTCATCAAAATTAAATTATCAAAAAATTATAAAAAAATTTTATATTTAAAGATATATATGAAACTTACTTTAAAAAAATAATTTAAAAAAAATTACAAAATGATTGTGATCTATTTAATTTTTTTATTTTGATTTTTATTATTAATAAAAATATAAACATAATAATCTTATTATAAACAAAATTTTCAACTTTTTTTTCCCTAATTTTTCCTTCAAATTGAAGTATTAAAACAATTAAATTTATAAAAAAATCAAAAATTATTTAATTTTTATTTTTTTAAAATTAAATATTTATCTAATCAAGAGAATAGAGGATTTTATTTCTTTTACTTTCTTTTCTTCTTCTCTCATCATCGAAACACACTGTAAATCTTACCTTTTTGTGCAGTTAAAAAGCATCATAAAAATAAATATGCTGATTAGATCATAATAAGATGATTAAGTAAACACTTGGCAAAAGGTAAATGGCCTTACCATAATTATGAGAATCTTAATCTCAATTACCAAAACTGAGAAACATAAAAACCAAAGGTTTCCCTCTGATCAAACAACCATATTGGGAAATAAGAAATTTCGTTATTGTCCATTTTGGGGGACATTGATTGGAAGAGGAAAGAACATTCGCAAAGTTAAACCCTCCAAAGATAGCAGCCAGGAGAAAAGCATAAAAAAACAGAGCAACTAATATGATCCCTTTAATAGGCAAAGGTTCAATCTTTTTAGCCGATAATTGTCTTCCCAGCATTTTTATACACTAGAAGAAAAAGGGTTTTTTTTTCTAAAAAAAAAAGGGTTTGGGTCTTTGAAGTTATGAGCAAAGAAGAAGATGATGAATTAGAAAACAGGGAAGGGTTAAAACCATCGTCAGGGCCGTACAAATGGCTGGTGAGCTTCCATCGTGATCTGATGGCGGGAGCGGTGATGGGTGGTATGGTGCACACGATCGTGGCACCGATTGAGAGGGCAAAGTTGTTGCTTCAAACCCAAGAGAGCAATTTGGCTATTGTAGCCGGTGGGAGAAGGAGATTCGAAGGGATGCTTGATTGTATCTTCCGTACAGTTAGAGAAGAAGGCATTCTTTCTTTATGGAGAGGCAATGGGAGTAGTGTTCTCAGATATTACCCTTCTGTTGCTCTTAATTTCTCCCTCAAGGTAATAAATTTGTCATCTTTTCCCCTTTTCTTCTTGGTTTTTGTCATGGAGTGAAATGAAAAAGTGTGGTTTTTGTCTTGGTTTCTTCTTGGTTCCTTCTTGGTTCTTGCTCTTAATTTCCCCCTCAAGGCAATGGGATGACATGTTTATTTTAGTCTTCGGAGATGTTATTTGGGGAAGGGTTGTTGTAAGTTCGGAGTTTTGGGAGGGGATATTTTGTGCATATGAAATGAATGATAAAATGTTTCTTGGAGATGATGTGATGTTATGCTTATTACATAGTAGGTTGAGATCCTAATTTATGTACTTTCTTTGATTTTCTTTGTTTGAATGCAATTAATGTGGTCATGATACAAAGAGTTCTTCTATTGCAATTTATCGGAGTTTAGGGAAAGAGACCTTATCACTTGCTATATGTCCAATTGCTATTATAGTTCCCAAGTCGATATTTTTTGATAATGACTCCTAAGGTCAATCTTGTTCATGGATGGAGTTGAGAACTTAAGAAACCTATCACCTTTGATAATATTCTAATCTCCAATATGATTTTCTTTTAGCCTTCTCGCTAGATAACGGACCAAAATGGAATGTTCCGGTTCTTTTCCTTTTTTCATAGTATCTTGTCCTTGGGAAAGGTCTTCGTTTGAGTTTTCTTCATAAGTCTCTGGTGAGTTTGTGAAAAATGCTTGTCTATACCCTTTTTTCTTCTTTTGGCATATAGTATATAACTGTTTTATGTAGATGTAGCATTTACTGCCGTCTGCGAGTCCAGTCTTGTAGTGGTTCTTTAGGGCACCAGTTCAAGTGTAGCCTGCAAGGAAACTGCAAATCCTGTGCTTGGATAAACTTATTGGTTATTTTATTTCCATGTAGAACTTTTGATAGTCTCATTCCTATTTCTCAATCTTATCCCATCTGTCTGGTGCTTTGTTGCTATTGTCAAATGGTTAATAGTTTCCCTGAAGATGAGGCTTTTTGTTCTCTTTTTTTTTTTCTTGTTTTTGGTATGTAAGGATTATAAGCATGGCTTAGATGAGAATGCCATTCTAGATGTCTGTATATATAATGGAAGATACAATTTAGAATCCAAGTATAAGAGAAAAGACAGGATACGTACCCATTGAGGACAAAATAAGGCCATCTCATGTAATGTGCCATTTAAAGAGGAGAAATACAAATGTTATATAAGATGTAATTTGTTGGAGGATTACTGAGTTCTCAACAGAGATAGATAAAGACTAAAGAGGACTTGGTTGGAAACTGTAAAAGAAAACCTCGCTCATTGAGTTTGCAAAGGATGCATTCAATAATAGAGCAGAATGATGCAATATATATCCATATAGCCAACTTTACCCTATGGAAAAGATATAGTTTGTCATGTTAGAGTTCTTTTTGTGAGTTCTAATAACAACTAAGTTATGCATGGTTGAGAATGGTTTAAGTTGCTAGCACCCTTTCATGGAATAGCATAAATTACTAGAATCACTATTTTGTCAGAAAATGGATGGAATATTATTTCAGGGGCTCTGCAGAGTATCAGGAAAAAATATGTGGGATATAATTTGCCTTTATACCTGGTAGAGGCAATGGAGGGTTGCCCTTCAGGTCCATGGCAGATGGAGAGGGTATAAACCAGCAAGTTTAGTTTAGCACAAGGAGCCTTATTACAGAATTTTCAGCTGCTCTTAATATGGTGGTAGTTCAGTGTTTTGGCTTGTCAAATCATATAGGAGTATATAATAAAAGCATGTGACTGAAATCTCAATCAGTTTGAAGATGTAAAACTTTCTGAACTTTAAAGTCATCTTTTTTTCATGAATGCTCCTATTCCACCTAGAAAGACGTACATGTTAGCAGTAACCTGGAGATATTTCAACTGAAACTTATCTATTTGCATTTTTGTGGATACTGTTAAAAGAACAAGTGATATGCTATTGATTATAACGTAGCAGGAATAACATTTAAAAGTTGCCATTAAATTAAAATATAAGCTGAAATTGTTTTTTTCTATGTGTATGTACATGCGCACACATAGTTTGCCTATTTTTTTCCTTTTTTTTTTTTATGAAGAGCATTAACCAAGTATGTTGGAATGATAGGACAGAAAAGCCGAGTTATTAAATTCATGGCCCTAATTGGTGGGATGACAACTACAGTTGGAAGAAATAACTATAGTGTTAGAGGATTAGGAATAGGTCAGATGAATATGCCCAACATATTGCCTATTTACCGTCTGTAAAAGTTAAAAGTATTCACTTGATAAATGCAGTTGACACAAGTTGGTGAGAGCACAATTGAATTCAGATAAAATTTCACTTAATGTCAAGCAACCTTCTAAGTTACCAAGGGGATAACCCAAATGTTAAAACTTGACATTTAAAATTAAACAAGGAGATACCAGGTTTGAATCTTGGGGATGAAAGATGTAGGATTTATGAGATGGGAGAGAGTTTCTTGGCCTTTATGTAGCTCTAGGCCTAATGAGTCTCTTTATGTACAAAAAAAAGAAAAACAGAAAAAAGAAAACAGCCTTCAAAACCAGTGCTCACAAATTTAAAAAAAAAAATTGTTTAGTATTTTAATAGAAATCTGAGTAAATTTACAACATCTCCGTGTGGTTATCTTTTTAATTACTTTGCATCTCATTATGCAGGATTTGTATAGAAACATATTAAGAAACAGCTATTCTCAAGATGGTCATGTATTCTCTGGAGCATCTGCCAACTTTATTGCCGGGGCTGCAGCTGGGTGCACAACATTGATCTTAATCTACCCACTTGACATTGCTCACACCCGCCTTGCTGCCGACATTGGGAGAAATGATGTTCGACAATTTCGAGGTATATACCATTTCTTGAGTACCATACGCAAAAAAGATGGAATTCCGGGAATTTACAGGGGTCTTCCTGCCTCTCTACAAGGGATGATTGTTCATCGGGGTCTATATTTTGGAGGATTTGATACAATGAAGGAAATTTTGTCAGATGAATCCAAAACCGAATTGGCATTATGGAAGCGTTGGGTGGTGGCCCAGGCTGTGACAACATCAGCCGGATTGTTGTCATATCCATTAGATACGGTTCGAAGGCGGATGATGATGCAATCTGGCTTGGAACAACCAATGTACCATAGCACACTGGATTGCTGGAAGACGATTTATAGGACTGAGGGGATGACATCATTTTACCGTGGTGCTGTGTCTAATGTTTTTAGGAGCACTGGTGCTGCGGCCATATTGGTTTTGTATGATGAGGTCAAGAGGTTCATGAATTGGGGTGGATTGTAGTTGGAAGCATTTTTTGATAGTTTTCTTTTTGAACAAAAGGATTAGAGTAAATGAGATTCAGGATTACAACAGGAAAAACCTTGTAAAGCGCAATCGAGATTGATGCCCTCAATGCCATGGTATGTACTAGATGGCATTCATTTACCACATTTTGTTGCAAAAGCTTTGGCGATTCACATCTTGGTTTTCCTTGACGAATAAAAGAGCAAGTTCCTGCTCAATGTTGTGTTCGAGGTCATTATCAAATTTCTGTTCTTTTCTTTACAATTCTGTCTCTGGGAATGAGGATAAAATGGGTTCTGTGCAGTTGATTCTTTCATATCAACAATCCACGTTCCAGTGTCTGGTATTTACTTGTGGTTATCCAGGAGCCAAAACCACATGAGAATTTCCTTTCCTTGCTTCATAACTTGTTCCAATATATCTCAAGAAAGTCAATATTATGGTAACAAAATAATTTTCCCACGGATCTCATTCTAAAAGTAGTTTTCTTCTGTATGATGCTAGGGCCTAGGGGCAGAGACTGCAGCAAAAACAATAAGAGAAAAACAATAAGTCTTCACTTTTCCTTTGATCTCAGATTCAGTCTCCAGTTACTTTTTCTGCTAATTCCTGGCTCACCACAAACAATGGAGCCAAACGAAAATTGAAAAATAATTAAAATACATGCATACAAGTGGGAACCACATAAGCCAAAGCAAAACTATGACTTCACCCATCTAGGAAAAAGGGCGGAAGAAAACAAAAGGTGATGAGCTACTGGTAAAGTACTTAAAATGCTTTTTTTTTTTTTACAACTTTTAGACCTGAAAACCCACCATTAAGGAACTTTTCAGTGGCGTACTTTAGTTGCCCATTTCTCATTACTTCCACTAAAAATATATGCACCCAAAAAAAATATTACTTTCTATTTAACTTTTTTCATCCCACAATTTGCTTATTGTAGAGAATCAGAAAGAGATTCTTCTTACGTTAGGCTGTAAAGATTCTAGATGGGGTCCATTGATGGGGTAAATTCAACACAGCTAATGGCTGCCAGGTCTAAAATTCAGAATTAAAAATTAAGATCCCAATGGAACACCCACTCTTGAATTATGGTTGTGATTTGTGGATTGTTGTTTGATGGACAAGAAACCACGCGCTACAGAAAGGAAAGTCGGGGGTTAGAGTCAGAGAGCACGAAAAAAATTGGTGATGAAATGAGGCTGTCAGGTTGTTGAACTGATGCTGTAATGCATCCTTGAATACTGTCTGATGGCTTGGTGACAATTTGGGGCCTTGTCTTTGCCTTCAATTTTAGGTGTTTTCCTTCGTCAGCTCTCCCTTCTTTTGATCCTTTGCTTCACCCCCAATATATCATTGTACTAAAATTTACAGCTTCTCACTTCCTTTCCTTTCTTGTCCTTAGTTTAATTCACTTATTTTAGCACTCTTTGGGGAGGGAATCACAGCTCATTTTCAAGTGTTCTTGGGATCATCAAACCCTTTTTCTAACACCCATTGAAACTTCATCCAAGATCTACTTTAAGGTAGAAAAAGAATAAGCTGTTTAGACTTTATATCTTGTTATAAGTGCAGTAAATTCAACTAGCAAGGTGGCTTCAACCCACACAAGAATAAAGATTTGTATGAAAGTTGAAAGTAATAAGAATTGTTGAACAATCACAATCCCAGAAAAAATATTGAACCACAACTTTGTGGAATGAAATCTGTCTATAATCAAACAGAAAGAGCCGTGTAAGAGTTCCAGGAAATTGAATCTTTCTCTTTTTTTTTTCTTAATTGGAAGAATTTGTCAGATTATGCTACAATGGCCACTTGGATTGGAGCTCGTCATTGTCAGTAAAAAAGCATCATAAAAAATCTCTTCCTCTAGAAAACCCAGATCACATTATGAACCATTCTTTTTCATCTAGAACCTACCTGGAACAAATTTCAATGGCTTTGATTGCTCAATAATTGGCAATGGACCCCACATTAGGCCCTATTCCACTTGTTGTTCATTGTCCTAACTCAGATCATACTTCAAACTCCCTGACCAGAGCTCTTGAAACACCAAAGCTCAAACCCCCATAACTCTCACTTCACAAATCCAAGGAAAAAAAAAGGGAAAGAGGAAGAAAACTTTCAGACATACAATCTCATTCACTTGATTTCATTACTACAATTCGCTAAATACTAATATCTTCAATATGCTTGTTTTAAACATCAAAGCTAATAGGCAATGAAAAAAAAAGCAGAAGTTATCTGCCTGATTCTACGTTCATGGACTTGCAAAGAAGTTTCAATAAAGTAATAATAATAACAAGAAAACCCCGAATAGAGAAGCATTAAAATGGAAGCTTGATTACATGATTTTTAATGCTATAACAATCTGTATATCATACCCAGAGAGCGCCAACTTCGACCAGCTTTGGAACGAGGTGGCCACTGAGGTGAAGAGCCACGAGGGATTCAAGGCCGCCAACGCAGGTTCCACCAATGAACACAGAGGGGGCAGGATTCCGAGAGGAGAGGCTATCGTGACCCGGCGGTGGAGGGAGGGAAGTGATCTCATGGTCATCGAGTTCGATGACAGTAGGGTGAACCCCGATGGTGGCTAAGAGCTTTTTCATGACGTGACACATGCAACAGGACGATCGGCTGAAGATGATGACGGGGTGCTCCGATATCAGCCTCCTGATTCGCGTCTCCGTTGACTCCTCCTCGTCTATGGAGAGACCGCCGCTAATGGCACCCATGGGGGTGTTGTTGGAGGAAGAGGAAGAAGGTGGTGGTAGTGGTGTTAGATCAAGCTGCACAACTTCAGTTGAGCAACTTCTTCGGCTTTGCATCGACAAAAGAAAAACAAGGGATTGTGGAAATGTCGACGAGGAAAACAAGTGGGATGAGAGAGTTAAATATCGAAAGAGAGAGAGAGAGAGGAGAAGAGAAGAGAAAAGAAAAGAAAGGGAGGCTTGGCTTGGGCTATGGTTGCTTACATCATAAGGTACTGTGTTACGTAGGTTCTCTTTATTAGTTGGGGTCATGGGAGTTTTGGGGGTGAAGAGAAAAAAAATAAAATAACAAAAGATTAGCTTAATTGTGTTTTATTATGTTTGTGAAAAGGTTAATTAATTGAATACGAATGCATTTGTTATTTTGTGATATATTTATTTAATTAATGAATTATTTAATGTTATTTTAAATTCATTGATAAATTTAATAAATAAATAAAAACAATTTTTTTTCAAATAAAATTATGTTCAAATTATTTATAAACGTATCATATATGAACAAATTTTATTATATTATATATTTATTTAATGAATGAATTTTAAAATATTCATAAATATATAATAAATTTAATAAATAAATATAAATATATAATAATTAAACGTATTCATAAATTATTTATCAAATATTTTATTTATTTGTATTCGCATTTAATTCCTGGTATACATTTATGTCCATGTGAGTAATTGTAGGTGTTGGTATATTTACTAACAAATATTAGAAAGGGAATTGATTGGGGGTTGGATGTTTTTGAAGATGACAATACTATCATTATTGTGAAAAAAACAAGTGGATTCTTGAGATAAGATTTTAACAGATTTCTCTTGTCCTAAAATGAGCCGACGAATCTTTGACTCAGCGACATGAGATTTCGACAATAATGAGAGTTGTCTTAAGTTTGAGGCGTAATCCTCTTCCTCGCCAAACTAAATTTTTTTAGATAATGAGATCTAAGATAGAGTAAAGCGGATTATTTTTTAGATTGATTAATATATTTTAAAAGAATATATTTATGTAATATATTTTTTAATTAAGTAAATAATAAGATAGAAGGTTTAAAAATAAATTAAAATTAAAAAAAAAGATAAAATAAAATAAAAACTTACAAAAAATGAGGTGCCTATTATTTTAAGAAAGAAAACATGTTATACTAGCTGGTATGTAATAAGATCCTTATAGATTTGTTTATGTTGTTGTTAGGTTATGTCGTCATATTAAAAAAAAATATATCGTGTAAAAAAGTGTAATTTCAATTGTTTTGAAGAAAGAGAAAGAAAAAAGAAATACTGGTTAATGATTGGAAACTGTGAATTACATACGCTGAAGCCAATGAGTGACAATCGATAGTTGGGAGACACTGGATACTTGTCAGAGATAAAAGAAGATTTCGAAATTTAAAATACAAATGAACATTTTATAAAAATAAAATATAAATATAATATAATTTAAATTTTCAATAATAATTATATATGATTTAATAAAATCAAAATATATATCTTATATTTTTATATCATTATAATATATAATTTTTATATAAAATATAATATAAATATATCAATTTTAATATTTTATATAATATAAATATATCAAATCAGATTTAAATAAAAGTAGCGCGGAACAGTCACTACTCACATTGGGTGGTGGTGGTGATCGTAGTAAATAACCCTCTGCTTACGTCACCTTCACTTCCACTTGGAACCCCTAGATTGAACCGTGACGTAGCCCGAAGGCCAAACTCTCTTCCAAGTTTTTATTTTGGTATTTATTATTGTCGAAGGCAACGGGGAAAAGAGAGCTGACGTGGAGTAAATACTCATTGGGGGAGGAGTAACGAATGGACCCCACTCGCATGACATAATCATCGTCGGAATGAAATTACAGTTTCCTCGTCATTACGTTCCCTACTTGACACGTGGCACAAGTGTTTCACTTTCCTTCAGGCATGGAGAGAGTGGGCTTCCGTGGAGGAGAGAGAGAGAGAGAGAGAGAGAGACTAAAATGTGGGGCGGGCCCTCCATAACTTTTTGTCTCAAATTTGAAGCCAATAAGAGTATGCCACGTGGATCCTCTGACGGTGATGGGATTGGGCTTGGGGAGGGCTTTGCCTTTGTTTTTGTGTGGGCTTGTGGGAGGAGGGGCCCCACCATCATGAATTTGGAGATTCCCATTAAAGGACCACCGTTGATGGTGGTACAGAAGTATGGTGTCTGCCATATGTGATGAGATAAGCAAAGGGAATTGCATCAGCATCACCATTGCACTTGGGCTCCACGTAACCTCTTTTATACGTAAAATTAGATGATGTGGTATAAAAATAATATAATTTAAAATTTTAATAAAAATTATAAATAAATTTTAAAAATATATATTATATATTTTCATATCTATATAAATTTTGATAAATATTTTTATATAAAATATAATATAAACACATAAATTATCAAATTTACTTTTTTTTCTTCTTAATATTTAAAAAATCTCAAAAAAAAAAAGTAATTAATGATTTTCTCTTATTTTGAAACTTAAAAGAAATGATTATTTTTTAGTGCATTCAATTTAATTATTATTGACATATCACGGCGTCATAATTGATATATTGAGGAAGAGAGGAGCTTCCCACTATTACTTCCATTTTAAAAATCGTGAAAACATTTGAGAGTTAAAATGACAAAGTGCGACCCATTTCAGTTTTGACTTTTGATAGTTGGGTAACCGAAAGGCAAAAGCTAGAGAGAAAGAGCGGCTATGATTGGAGATCCCAAGATTGAAAAGCAGAAGAGCCATCGATGAGGAAATGCGAATTGGTTGAAAGGCCATGGACCGAAAGCCCCATTTGACAAAATATAGAAAAAAGAGGGAAAGAGCTTGTGGAAGTGGTACTCGTGGTCACCGTGCATAAGGGTCAAATCCAAAAGATCAAATCAAAGAAGAAGCTATGTCGTCATGCTCAACATCATCAACCATTGTTGATGGAACGCCACAACTCCTCAGCCCTCAGTAGAGCATTCCTTAACCATGTCTCACGTTGTCCAAAGAAAAAGGGCGAAAACGAAAGGCTGAATTGGATGCCACACACCCGGCATTTTTACATCATTGGATTTGGCAGGCACGCACCTTTATTATATAACATAAAACTCTTTGTTGATATATAATGAATTATTTAAAAATTTTATAATTCGGGTATTTATAATATATAATATTTTAATATTTTTATCATATTTATATAAAATTATATATCATAATTTATATTAATATAAAATATTATTTTTTAAATTTTATTAAATTTATATATAATAATTATTAAAATTTTAAATTATATTAATTTTTTATATTATATTTATATTATATCATCGTATTATTTGTTGTAGATGTTCAAATCTAATTGATAGTAGCCATGGCCATGGCCAATGAATGCTTGTTATATTTCTTTATGACATTATCCTAGTACCATCTCGTCTGCCCATCTTTACTTTTTAAACCCATTTTTTGTTTTTAATGCAATGGACTTGTTTCTTAAATTTATATCAATGAGTTTAAATAGAGATTATTATCAAGTGTTTATATAATTAAAGGTAGTTTTAAATTTTATCTAAATTTAATTTTTTTAAATAATCTTAAAAATATATTTCTGGCAATTATTTAACGTATTCAAAATTTTATTTTCATAACATTTAAAAAATTGAACTTTAATTGTAATATAAAAATAGTTAAAAGGTTTTTTTTTTTTTTTTTAATGAAAGGGGCCAATTGAAGAAATCAGCTTTCAATGAGCCATTACTAGTGTTTTCGTGTACCCATTTTACAGTTAATAACTCTTTCGGTGATTCCTTTATTAGTCAATCAATGAAGTGCCCCTAAAGTTGACCATATTCCATAACTTCCAAGGAACTTAAAATACAAGCACCACCATGCAATGAATTAATTACGTCAAACAATTTGCCTTTACTAATTACGTAAAGTACTGTACCAAACACATGGTAGGTATACTTGCACAAATTTTTTTTTCCTTTAATCTCCGCGAATAAATGAATGTGCATATTTAAAATCTAGTTAATGTTTGGTATGCTCTTGTACTAGTAAATAAATAATACGATACACACGATATCTTTTATAGATGCATATTATAAGATTTCATAAATATTGTCATCGATATTCTCTTAAAAAGGTCATTTAATAATTTGTAAACATTTAATTCATATATTAAATGCTTATTGATAAAAAGATATATAATTGAAGAAACAAAAAAATTATATAAAATTTTATGATCATGAATCTCTTGATGTTGTCTATTCAAAGATACATTACCTTCTAATTTCATTTTTAAAATACAAGATGAATACGTTGTGTGCATCTATCATAAACATTGCCAACAAAATCACAAACTCTAAAAGCCAATTAGAAGATTTTCTTGTAGCAAGTGGGAAACCCACAAAATATATCTAGGCGTGCTTTGTGTTTCCACATGGTGAATTCCATTTTCACATAATCACCCAACCTCAATAATATGCATCGAACATGCGTAGAAAACACTCTCTCTCTCTCTTCCGGCATTCGTGGAGAAAATATCATAATCTAACATGAAAGTCAAACACTTTTCTTTATTAAAACCTTTATTAACCTAAAACCCTCTCTTTTTTTATTTAATCATTTCCTTGACACGTTCTTGATAAGTTGGAAACTCCATTCACGCGCTTCACGAGAGTTTGGTGATTTTTTTTTATTGGGGGGGGGGGGTTTCTGCCTTTCTTGCAGGATTCGTCATTTTAAGACAATCCCCACGTGAGTGAACACGTGTTCCGTACATCGACACGGCAGTTATATATAAGATGTTGTCAGCAGATCTGCACCCGTGACCCGGATCTGTATCCGTATCATATCCATATTGGGTCCGGCTTCCACTTCCAGGGTCCTACATTGGTGCTCAACTGCTCATTATCGCCGTTTGCGCACATTAGCGAGCCCCTCTCGTTTGTCGCGCCGCTGGCTTAAAAAAAAGATAAGGCGTTTATTTATTTACTTATTTATTTATTATTATTTGTTTTTAATTTTTAATGAAATGAGTTCCCTGAAGGTGACACATGGGTTACGCAACCTGATAGGACTGTCGCAGTTCAGACAGTGGGACCCGGTGATGTCATGATCTGAATCTTTGTCGGCTCTTGAGTATAATAATGTAGTTAATCCTCCTGCCGCAAGGGCGGGGGATCATTCTTTACCTTACGAAGGGTCTGCTCCGTCTGAAAAACTATCTGATCATGGCCGTACACGTGGCAGATTGGATGTAATTAATTGAGGGGTTGCATCATGGGGACAATCGAAATATGATTGGGGTGGGCAGTGCCTGTTTTTGCTTATGTTGTAAGTTTTCACAATACAAAAATACGTGATAATGAGGTGGGGGAAGGAATTTGTATATTAATTTCATATAAAACATTAAAATTTATATATTTATATTATATTTTATATAAAAATTATATATTATAATTATATTGATATTAAAATATAAAATATAATTTTTTATTTTATTATATTTATAAATAATTATATATTTTTTAAATTATATTATTTTTATATTTTATATTTATTCGTATCAAATTATCAGTTATATTTTCAATTGATAAATCTAATAAAAATGTAAAGGGCATTGAATTCTCAGCAACCCATTTGTCCAAAAATCTTGATTCTTTGATGGAATTCCTTTAATTTTTAATTCCATTGCCCCAATTGTCAATACAAAAGGTTCATCAAAATAGGATAAGACCGTGTCAGTTGTACAATCTTGTCTTCTTGAAAATCACTTTGATGGTTCATGTTAAAAAAGAAACTGGAATACAGCTAGCAGAGGTTATATTTTGAGGACGAGACAATTGAATTGACTACCTGAATCTGATTGGTGACGGGTTAGTACATGTAGCTTATAGGTTAGGTATATGTATATTGATTTAGCCACGGCTAAAAGTGTTAAAAAGAAAAAGTCATTTTGGACTGAACCAAAATTAATTATGGGTCTTGCTTGCGCAATCGGTTTGAAAATTTTGTAAATGGCAACGGGATCAAATATCTTAGCCATGACGTCCTATAGTTTTGACCAAATCAAGTAGGTTTATTACAATTCCCCCCCCACCCCCACTTCCAATTCACCCTTTTCTCTTGCAGCACACTGTAATCTTAAACTGCTTGTAGGATGAAAAAAAATGATAATTTTTGCATTTATATAATATAAAATATTAAAATTTATATATTAATATCATATTTTATATATAAATTATATATTATAATTTATATCAATATAAAAATATAAAATATATTTTATTATATTAAATATAAATATAATAATTAATAAAATTTTAAATTATATCATTATTATATTTTATATTTATATTATATATATCGTATTATATATTATGTTTTAAATTATTATATTAAAAAAAAGAAAATTATTTTTATATTTTTGGGAATGAGAGAAAATTAAGGGCATGCCAGGGTCCCAAAAATCAAATAGCTACTACTGTAGTCACCTAGGCCGGTTGTCATAGAAAAAGCCATGGCAGCAGCCCTCTCTCTCTCTCTTCCTTTTCCTTCGTCAATCGTTTTGGCAACTACTGTAGTTTCGAATGTCAGATGGGAATTGCATGTTATATAAATAGTTTTTTTTTTTGAAGAAATAAATAGTTAAATACTTGGCTTACACGTATCTTTCTACTTTTCACTTGGGGGAATTTTTATATTATTAAATCTAATCTATCAAGCGTGGTCTTCATCCTTTGTATCTTTTTTTTATTCTTATTATTACAAATTTGGCAATGTCCGAAAGAACAGATGGTGGAAGTATTTCTACAGCACCGAAACGCCATTCTTCACTGGTACTCCAGTGGATTCTAATTGAAGGTTTAATACGATAATATTACATGAATATAATATAAATAAAAAATTTAAAAATCATAAAATTTAAAAATTAAAATTTTAGTGATAATTATATATAAATTTAATAAAATAAAAATATATATTTTATATTTTATATTAATATAAATTTTAATATATAATTTTTATATAAAATATAATATAAATACATAAATTTTAATATTTATATAATATAAATACACAAATCATCTCATCGTGCCCTATTGCACTACCATTGTTTTATTGAACGGGGTTGAGTTTCATGCTTGTTTGCTCAAAACCCAATCTGGCTTTTGTTTAAAGAAAAACAAACTCGACCTATAATGTAACTTATAAAGCAAGCAAGCCTTTGCGGACTGCAGACCAAGTTTTCTTGTGTTGATCCAAGTCAGGAAGAAAATTGAGTAGGCTTCGATCCAACATATACTTGGAGCTTGGGACAAACTTCATCCAGCAGTACATTTGTTTTCCATTGAGGAACAATCTTTGAAGCCCGAATCATTTTTTCTGGTCCTCAGTCCTGTCTGCAGCTCTTCTACAAAATGGGCTTCGCTTATTCTATAGAGCTTTAAAATTAGAGAAAACGGGGCCTGACGAAACCCCCATTGCCTGTCTTTGCAAACTACGTGGCTAAAGCTGAAGCATGAAATGATTTGGAGTAATCCATTGGGCTCCACAATACGACTATCAACGGCTGAAGACAACTAGAGAAGACCTTCGGCTTTTGAGTCTGGAAAAATGGAGAAGTTTCCAGAACTTTTGCTTTTGATATATGGCAGAAACTACTTGCGAAAAGAAGATGACAACAAATCTCTCTGGAACTTTCTTCGCCAGCGCCTTATATCATTACTTATCTCTCTTTCTTCCACCTGACACTGGACAAACATTGTAACTAAGAACACTTACACTTCCCCCAAAACATTCTCAGTTCCTTTTTCCTACAAAAACTGAAATTTAGAACAGAACTTCGATAATGAACTGAACACAATATTGGTAGTTTTATTACAGAACCAAAATTGAAGAGAAGGAAACAAGAAATGGAAGGGGTGGTAAATAAAGAAGAGGAATCGGTGACGTTTGCAGCTGGAACAGCAGGCTTGTCATCATCTTCATCATCATCTTCTTCTTCATATGTTACTCCACAGCCAATGGAAGGGCTTAACGAGGTTGGTCCACCGCCGTTCTTGACCAAGACTTTTGAAATGGTGGAAGATCCTTCGACGGACTTGGTGGTTTCATGGAGTAGAGCTCGTAATAGCTTCATTATTTGGGATTCTCATAACTTCTCGACTACTGTGCTTCCTAGGTACTTCAGGCACAGCAATTTCTCCAGCTTCATTCGCCAGCTCAATACATATGTAAGTAATCCACTTTAAAATGTTGTCTTTCTTTTTGTTTTGTTACTAATTTTGTAGAACTATACTTAAAAATGGTGTGCTGTCTCTGTGTCTTGGTGATAGATTTCAGTCTAATATATTTCAAGATATACTAATCAGTAATCACTTAAATGCCTCAATCAAATGCAGGGTTTTAGGAAAATTGATCCAGACCGTTGGGAATTTGCCAATGAAGGATTTCTGGGAGGGCAAAAGCACTTACTGAAAACGATCAAGAGGAGAAGAAATATCTCGAAAATTTCACAACAGCAAGGAGGAGGAGCTTGTGTTGAGTTAGGACAATTTGGACTAGATGGAGAGCTTGATAGATTGAAGAGAGATCGAAGTGTTTTACAAGCAGAAATCGTGCGACTAAGGCGACAACAGCAGCATTCAAGAGACCAAATTGTTGCAATGGAGGATAGGTTACAAAGAACAGAGAGGAAGCAACAGCAGCTAATGACATTCTTTGCCAAGGCTCTTCGCAACCCGACCTTTATCCAGCAATTTGCACAGAAAAAACAGATGCAAGGTGTTGAAATTGGGAGAAAAAGGAGACTAACAGCTAGCCCGAGCATAGAGAATTTGCAAGAAGAAGCAATTCCCGTGGTACTTGATACTGACCAAGTTGTTGATTACACCAATCAGGAGCAAGAAGAATTGGCAACCATGGATTCTGATATAGAGACATTTTTCACTTCTGCATTGAACAATGAATCAAGCTGTGAAATCAAGGATACGATAACAAGTTCATTGCCCACATCAAGTGAAGCTAATTTGGTTGTTAATAATACACTATGGGAGGAGTTAAACAGCGAAGACCTAATAGTTGGTGAACCAAATGAGGACGTTTTGGTGGGTTATGAGGCTGAAGTTGATGTGGAGGTAAACCCTGCTGATTGGGCTGATGATTTGCAGGACCTTGTGGATCAGATGGGTTATCTCAGGTCAAAGCCATGACCAAACAGATTAATCCCAATTTAGGATTAATTTTGTTGTTCTAGGCTCGAGTTGGTCTCTATGACACCATTCTGGTTTTCTAAAGCTGGTATGACCATATGTTCATGTATCGTAGCTTTGTTGTTCATATTGCTTCTGTATTTTGTTTGACTAATAGGAGTATGTGATTTCTCTTACAGCAGCGAATGGTGAAAGTTACTAAGAGGCCAGCAGATGTTCCTGTTATTCCGTATCCTTTATTTCTTTTTGGTTCTTTTCTAATTCACTTTGGAATTTTATTTACTAGTTACACGATATTTGTTATTTCTTGTGGCAAATTTTTGCAGGCAGCGGAGTAACCAAAGAGATTTATGAGGAACCCTTTCAATCCAATTCTTCCAAGGGCTTCTACTTCCAGATTTTTGGTACCACTGTTTATATATGTTTGCTCTTTCAGTTTCCTTGTTAAGTTCTCATTAATTTATGTAAACATCAGTTGCAATCCATAAGTATATAAAGGTTTTGCATATTTTGATATAAACTTTTGTACGATATCCTGATACACCTATATCTGGAATATACATTCCGACAATTTTCGAGAATGGAAAAAACCTTTGGAGCTTGAAGCTCACAGTTATAAAATGAACATGAAGATTAATGTTATATGTGGCTGAGTTGTATTTCCTCAGTCATATAAATGCTAAAAACTGGAGTAAAAGTGATTCAAGGAAGAGCTAAATGAACAATTGTACAGAATGGATTGTCCTCGAATCAGATACAAAATACTCAATAAGGTGTTTGCCATAGATTGCTCTCATCTTAGTGCACACATTTCAACAAAAATGAACAACAAGATGTTGGACATTTCAAGAAAAGAACATGCAATTAATCCATCTATTCATGCAAGCAATTGCCACTCTCCCTGGTTTTCACCGAGCTTTGGGTGGATATAGTGGTCGAGGCATATGGACTGAAGGATCAGAACCAGCACTACTTTTTGAATCGCCATTATAGAAAGCAGCTGATCTCTTGAACTGGAACTCATCCATGGACTGCCTTTGAATTCTGTGAAAGGCATAATTGCCAGCTCTTTGTTTTGCCCTGGTAGACTCCGTCAAGTTCATATAGTTTGGCCTACTATTGCCACTCTCTTCTGTTCTATCTGAAGCCAGGATAGTGTTTCCAGAAACTGGTGTGGTAGAAGTGCATATTGAAGATGAAGCAGAGCTCTCATCATATCGAAATTCAGAACTTGGACTTGAAGACGAACGAGTAACTTGACCAATATGGGGAGGGTTTGCAGAAATCCTAGTGGTGATATTGTTCTTTCTGACTTTTACTAAGCATGGTTCGGAAGATCTTGTATTCTTTCCCACAAGGCACTCTGAACAACTTTTTGATGGTGGAGTTGCTTCTGAAGGGTCAGCATCTAATTGTTCCATCAATCTAGTCTCCCACGGCCGGGCTGCCATCCACCGTTCTAGCCAACTCCATCCCCAACTATTCTTCTCAAACTCTTGGTTTTTGAGATATGGAATTGAACTATTTGTTTGGGTAATAGAACAAGGATTTGATCTCCATTGCTGTAAAAGCAAAGAACATCAGTTTTCTTTTGCCATGATTAGACAAAGGTACAAAAATTAGAAAACTTCCATACCTTCTGAGCAAGAGAATAAGCAAGGGCTCTTTCTCTCTTGAAGGCTCCTTCTTGCCTCATCTGTAGCTTTGTTTTAACATCTTCCAGTGTTCCTTTGCTATCACACCAGCCATCCTGAAAATATTTCCGAACAGCAAATAATGACATTTGCAAATTTAAGTGGCAATTAAAGTTTTGGTTAGTGGTACCTCTGCTTGTTTCAGGACATCAGCCTTGCTGCGGTGTTCATCAAGCATCTTCTGAACCGCTTGCCCCTCTATGGACATACGCACACGACGAGCCCTAACACGAGCCTGAACACGAACAAGAGCTTGCATGCACCGAAATGTCACAGCAGCCTGTTTCCTCACCTGTCGACCACGAACTAAGGCTTGAAGCCTCACAATTCCTTTTAAAGCCCTCAAAGCCCTTCTTGCCTACATAACAATTGCTGTTAAATAAGAATGCTGGTTCAATAACAGCCTAATATTTCTGCAACAAGCACCATCAGCATGGAGAACGTAACAGAAAAACATAAGCAATAGAGTGAACCAACAAGTTGAAGATCCGAGTGTGAATACACCAATACAAATTTGACATTAAATTTACTGAAGAATAAGGGCAACTACATGTACCTTAAAAACTTAATTCCGATCAAATAACACTACTATTTTACACTGAATCAATTTAGATCTAATCTTTATTTACTATCTGCTATGGCTGCACTGCTGTGTTAACTGTTTAAATTGAGAAACAATGAAGAACCTCTACCATGGAAAATTTCTTTCACTTTGAAGAAAACAAATGGCAGTAAAAGGAAATTCAAATTTACCAAGAAGCCACGAAAAGCAGTTTGGACGCGGATAGCAGCCCATTCTCGCCTTACAACTCTGAAATCTTTAGGAGGAGCTCGAACTACTGCGGCCATTGCAGCGATGAAAGCATCATTCCTTGGTGAAGAATCAGATTCTTCAGAATCTGCTTTTAACTTTCCTTTAAAACCCTTCCATGAGGACCCCAAGTCCCCTGAAGAACTCCTCCATAACCTCCATTTCTTACTTTTGCTATTCACCTTTTCCTACATAGCAAAAAGAAAAGAGCTTTACTGCTTAAATGTATATAACAGTAAGTAACTGTATAATGAAGCAAAAAAGCACAAAGCTTACTTGGTCCTCTTTTTCAGTCTTCTTAATACCAATAAGTGATTTCACCCATTTCCCTGAAGCACCCATTGACAGTTCAAGGTATATATTTTGTCAGAGCTATAAAAAACAGTTTTTTTTTTCTTTGAGGGAAGAAACAAATGGAGAAATGAAACAAGTTTGATCTCAACTAGCTCAAAAGAAGGCAACTTGGTAAGACAAAGGAAATGGGCAGCAATGAGAATAATTAAAAACAGGATAAGAGCGAGAAAAAGGAAATTGTTTTTGAAAAAATAGGACTTCGAGTCTTCGACAAGGCTCGAAGAAGAAAACTCTTCACTTTTTGTAGAAAAAGAAAGCAGGTTGAGTGAAAACTTAAAGCAAGAATACCCAAATGAAAAGAGCTGAAATAAAGCTCCCAAAGAGCCCAAAATACAAAGTTTTGGGTAACAACAAAGAACCAGAAACCAGAAGGAAAGAGAGAGAAACGTGGGGCAAATGTGGGGAATGTGGGTTTGGGGTTACAGGTATAGTGGGTTTACAACGTCCAATTATACTGTTCGATATTTTGAAATTCAAAATAAACCAACGGACAAAGAAGGGTTATCTTGATCCCGCTCAATGGCATTTCTCTTTGTGGTGAGACTATCTGTTCTTGTATTTGGAACTATTTTTAGTTTTTTACACTGCTTTCAGGAAAATTTGTCATGAAAAGGTACGATCCCTTTGTTGTCGTACATGAAAAGTTACCAAAAAAGACAACAAGTTAGCCGACAAAGAATCCCCTAGTCAGTGCATTGAAGATGTGGCTTCCTTGTCACAGTAAAACAGTGTTACGCTGTGTGGCATTTTCAAGTAATTGGCTTGGGACACTTGCATGGACAGTGTTAAATCTCTGTTCAATCTGACTTTTCAAAATCCTTTTCTTTGGAAAGAAAAAAACAAAAAAAAACAATTCGGACTTCCCCCCGTGATGTTACCTTGGTTTAAAAATGATTCAAATGATTCAAAGCTGTGAAAAAAAGCTGGGAGATTGATTGGTCTGATGCAAATAAGTATTCAGAACACTACAAGTAGCATCTGAATTTTACAGCTAGATGGATTTCATATTGTTCTGTATAGACAAATTTTGATTTTCAAATTTCTTGACAATTAGGGTTTGTTTCCAATCTGACTTGTTATGGTCTGAGATTTCCAATTCATAAAACCAAAATGGCAAAACCTACAGTCGTAAACCCCTTTGGTTGTTTGACAATGGCTGCAACTGAACCAAAAGGAGCTCTGAAGTGTGAAGAGGAGATGCCATGGAAAAAGTGAGACAGTGAGAGGAGCATTAAAGTAAAAGCATTTAACCAGGAGATGCCATGAAATTAACTACAAGGGTAATCAACTGTTTTGTCCTGACAAGGTTTATCTGATATGATTGTCAATGGAGTCAAGCTTTTCATTGAAGAGTTTTAAGGTTGAATCTCACCTTCATTAAAACGGTGTTTGAGGCAGTGATAGAACTAATGTTAATGGTGATTTTAAAATACTGCATTTATATAATAGATTTCTGTTACTATACATAAAATCGAATATCGGACTTTAGCTCCATCTCTTTTATCTATTGTGCTGCAAACCTACAACCAAGAAAATTGTCTTCAAAACAATTGTATTACTACCAGTAGTATTTCAGGTCCATATTTTTACCCGAAAAAAGGGAAATGTGAGTTCTTGAGCGTGATAGACTTAGAAATGACAACTGATTGTATCTAACGGGATTTTAATTAATCAAATTTTATATTTTTAATATTGAATTAGATTGAATTTGATTTTTAATATTATATTTTATATTTTAAATCGATTTGATATTATATAAAATTATAATTAATTTAATTTAAAATTAATAAATTATAATTTTTAAATATAAATAAATAATAAAAATATTTTAATGTATATTTCAAGTGAGGTCAAGATTAATTGGCTTAAAATCTAATGTCGACTCCACACTAAATCTAAAACTCGATCTGACCAACTCAAAATTGGATTTAAAAAAAATCTTATAAGATAAATACGGATTAAATTAAGTTGGACTCATAGTTAAGGGAAATGGATTGACTTTGACCCCTCTCACAGTCAATAGTCAAAGCTCATAGTTCCAGGAATGTTCACCTTTGTCCGTCGTCTGTCTCACGTGCGCTTGACCCAGCACCGCCTTTCATACCCATTGCACTTTCCACGCTCTGGCTTTATGGTGAGTACCAACAACCACACGACAAAGAAAAGCAGTTGGGATTGGAAAGTAAAGCCCTTGCATCTTCCAGGAACTCTTCATTATTTCAAAAACAACAACTTTCTTCGCATGACAAAAGGGGTTCTAGTATCTAAAAACCTTAATAAAAAAAAAAAAAAAAAACAGAGAATGTTTGGTCAGATTCAGACCCCTTCACCTATTTTACATTTTTATTACTACCGCTATGTACACTTTTGCTACAAAATTGTGGGCACAAGAAGTGTCCGACCTTGGTCATTTATCATTTGGTGAATGCTCAAAAAGCTTTAATTATTAGCCATAACTGACACCCTTGGGCTAGGGAGTCCCATGTATGCAAGCCTGGGTGAGACTCGAATTTTGGGGCTTGGTCGTGGTGAAGGTATTGGACCAGAGTTCCCAAAGCGGCCAGGAGTGACTCTGGGAGAGAGGTTAACTTTTTCCAGAGCTTGGAATTGAAGTTCCGTTGGGTAGTCTCTGACACACCCAATGCGAGGGCCAACCCCACTTGTCCACTTGCAAGACAAACGCTTGGCCATGTTGAATGCTGGTGCTTCCTCATTGGCTGCACTGCTGCTAGTGCCACTTTGTAGAATTCTGATGCATGCATCATTTGCGGATCCATCAACATCCACAGCCTTTGAATCCGTTGATTTTGCTGTTGCCGTTGGATCTTTGATCTCCCCATGCTTGGACTCATCACCAGCAACTTTGTACGAGGTATAGTCATCATCTATAGCACATCTCTGCACAAGGAATGAGAAATGTGAGAGCTATTCTGAAAAGATGAATCAGTTTTGGTGGCTATCTGTGTAACTATGCTGTTAGATACTATGAAGCTAAGAACATCTCTGAACAAAAATGCTTTATTACCTTGACGTTGGTCAAATCCACATTGTGTTCCTCAAGGAAAATAATGAACTCCTTGAAATTGTCTTCGGTTGGGAGGTAGTGACCACTGTAAGGCCAAATAGCCTGGAGAAGAACAGAAGCATTTAGCATAAAAAGGAAAATCAAGGGAAAAATAATTGGTGTATTGGTGTTTGCATTACACCATATGTACCTCAAGAACTCCTTGAGAAGCCACCAATCTTCCAGCAGCTGTTGTAGCCCCACCGGAAAGGAAACTTGAGTGCTGAAAAACACCTTTCTTCTTCTGCCCAACATATAAGGATCTTGATGTGCTTAGTACAAAAATCCACTTAGAACCCTCAATGGTGTTAACAAGCATTCCAGATTGCTTGTAAACAAGCTTTCCACTTTCCACAATCACCTCAAATGCTTCCCTCTCTTTCTGCAAACGAAGTAACAGATATGATTACGAAATGCACAATACATTTCTGACAGAATTGGTGCATTTCACAAGGTATAGAAGTAACAAGACTCACTGGTCCAAGATATTTAATGCATTGCCGTTGTAGATCTGTTCTTTGGCACTTCCTAAGATTTAGTTCTTTGCCATCGCCAATATCCAACCTTCAATTCCAGGATGGAAAATGGATTTCAGATATCAGTATGTAAAAAAAATTAACCTTCACTCATGTAACTTTTAAATCGTTTTTATGAAATATCCATTACCAGTAGAAGAAAGGCTGTGTGCTCTTGCTTGCTGACCAGACATCATAGTAGAAGTGTAAGTTGTGTCCGTATCGATGGCGTGGATCAATCTGCAGAAATATAAAAAGAACAGTTACTTATGGAATTTCCTTGATTTATCCTAAAATGTAATTCCCCCTGATAACAATATTATTTTGACAGATATCAGCCCATCTAATATGAATTTCGATCGAACCAAACCATCAAATTTTGATAAAAATCACCAATTTTGATTTGCAAATGGAATTCTGTTGTACAATTAATTGTTTTGCCATATACTAGTTCAGTTACTCAAATCCAAACTTTTTTTCTTTTAAGAACAGAGACTGATGCGTATCAAAACTCAAGAAGTTATTGAACCAGGTTCCAATGATACCATGTCTTAGCAAGAGTTTAGCTATAGCTAGATATGAAAGTCAATACAGAATGGTTACACCAACATATGGGACTCCAGAGGATATAAATATTTACTTTTTGAAGGATGGAAAGCCAATTTTGAAAGAAAATTTGATGGTCCTAAGATTTTAGTTCTTGCATAAAACTTGAATAAGCAAAACAAGCTGCCTAAAGCAACCTAGTCTGCTAGAATGCAAATCAACAGGGATAATATGGGCTTACAGCTTCAAGCCAATGTTGCAGGGCTAGTTTTTGAGCTTTCTCATCCTTAGACAAACCCTTCCCAACCTACAAACTCAAAAGGGTTCTCTTGTTAGTCTTCAAGCAAATATGAAAAATAGCAAACCACATTTCAAGGACTATTGAGAAAGGCTTAGTAAAGTACCTTGGCAGCCCTTGTTTTAGCCCGTGCCCACTTTGATATGGCAGTTTCTTGTTTCTCAATGTCATAGAACGAAACAGAAGACCTTCTCAATGCTGCAGAATCTAAGGTCTTCCACCTACAATGTTGAATGAATTTAAGAACCAAACAAATTACTCAAAATCAAAAACACCGAAAAAAGAGCACTTGGAAATTGAGATTATTTGGAGACAAACCAGAGCTCCTCAACCACTATTGCACAATCTGCCAGGTTCCTTCTTGTCCTATAACTTTTGTAAACTTTTTGAAGCCTAGTAGCAGCAGCATCAAGCTCACTAGCGGGCCTTGGAGAAAAAAATACCACTGGTTCAGGGAGTTTTATGGTGGGTCTTATTGGTATAATGATTCTATTCGCTTTATCATTTGAGACAACTGAATTTGCATTCCCTTGATCAAAAGGTAATTGTTTGAATGAATCGGATGCTTCAAGCTTTGGTTCATTGGAATCACCACCATTATTCAAACAATCAAACTTGTTAGTTGGAGACTTTGAATCATCCTTCTTGAAACTCTCTGCTTTTAGGGTCTCCTCTCCATCATCTCTTTCAAGGCTTATGGACCTTACAATAACCTTTTCTAAGGTGTCGGCATAACCAAAAACCTGATGTTTCAGGATTTTCTTCCATGGTGATAAAAGCAAAGAAAGGGAAAGACCCATTGCTTTAAAAGCTCTTATAGACTCTAACCTGTGACATTAGAATTATCAAACATGCTCATTAGATTGAAAGAAAGCAATCCCCTTAGTCCCCTTGAGTTAATTAGGAAAGGGAACCAGAAGAAAATTTTCCACAGGAAAAAACAACAAATTGATCTTCAAAAAAGAAAGAAGAACTAGATAGAAAAAATCAAAACCAAAAAATGTAATCAAGAACCTCACCTACAGATCACAGAAACAAGCAGTCAAAAAACCAGAAAACTTTTCTCAAACTTGGAAGTTGCAAGGAGAAGACTATGGAGTCCAACTGCAAAGCAAGGCAACTTGTTAAACTATGTAAGACAGTTTATATATAGGGTAGTTTGAACAATCAAAGCTACTGCCACTACGTGGAAAATTAATACTATGAAGGACAAGGTTAAACCAATTCAAAGTTGGCGTGTCATGCATAAAGTCAGTTACCCAATTTCACTGAAATAGCTAAGCTTGGAGGAAAAAAGTCAACATAGCAGGGTTAAGGGCACCTTCAAAGAAGTTTATGAGAAGGATTGAAGAAGCGCCAGTTAGAGGAAACATGTTTTAAACGGCAGAAAAAAAAAATAAAGCAGATAAAGAAATAAAATTATAGAAGCATGAGGCTATAAGCTAAACAGGTACTTATTTTATATTTTACTACAACTGCCCCATTTCTTTCTACCCTTTCTGTGTTTGGTGGTGTTGGGGGGGGGGGGGGGGGGGCGCATAATTGTGATATTTGTACTGTTGTCGATGGAACATCGTTTTCAGCCATGCTGGAAATCTTCCACCCCTACCAACTCGTGATAATCCATTGACCTTTTCATGACTTCCATGAATCTACTCTTTTTTTACTAGGCACTTGATTCGTTTTAGTGAAATAGGGGGATGTTTATTCTTTTAATTTACTAGCATATGTCAAGAAATGATACATCATGCATGCATGGAATCATAATTTTATTATCAAGGCTTGTTAATATACAAAACATTAATTGTTTCCGACCTTAAATCAGTAGAACCCAACACTCTAGAAATAAAATAAAGATTTTAAGTACAATTTGAAAGCAAACAAACTATGTACATATAACTTTAATTTCTCAAATGAATGATCTTATGGATTAATATAATTCCATTGGCTTGAGAATTTCTGCAAAAATTGGGGACCTGACATTTCCTACTTGACATTTAAGTAACCTTCATTTGAGGTCGTTATCCACTTGAAACAAGGTTATCGAAGCTATTACCTCAGTTCCAACGTCTTAGTTACTGTTACCAACATACATACAAATACAATGTACAATTTTTTCAATTCCAGACAGTGGTCCCTTCACTCTGGTCCATCTAACTATTGCCGACTGTGATTGTAATGCAAGAAAGTCATCCGAAATCAATAAATGAATGCTACCTAAATGTTTTAATGTCACAAACCATACCCCATTTATTTTGTTGAGACCAAACATCTTAATTCTATTGAATAGCCATGTCTGATATTTTTCTGAAAAGTTGAACCAAGATATGGTATTTTACATGCCTCGCCCAATAACAACACTACATAAAAAAGTACAATAAGCATAAGCATCTTGAGCTCAATCCTATTATTAATACACGTTCATTTCACTCTTGCACCTCAGTTTTGTTTTCTGATACAATACCCTGCAAATAAAAATAATAAGCACAACCATCTAAAGTTTGGGTGCTAAAACTTTTCTTAGTTATATGATACTACTTAGAAGTTTTTAGGATTTCCATTGCCCCAATTGTTAATCCGTCTCTGTTTTATCCAGAAGATACTGTTTGTGACTTCTGTCGGGGAGGTATGCGAAGCCAAGCCTTCATCATGTCATATGCTGCGAATCCAACAGCGACAGAAGGAACAATCTAACAACCAAATTGTAACACAATTCATTATAAGGCCAAATAAAATTGGAAATTATATAACAAAGGTCACAATCAACTCTAAATAACTGTCCATCTGTATCTTACAAGTACTATTTTTTTTTTGTTTCTTAGCAGTTAGGACAGAAGGGGATAAAACTAAACAAAAGTGAGCAGCTATGTTGATATTGTGCAGAGTATATAAACTACCTTAATATAATTTATGCTCAAGCCTGCAAACAATTGTCTCCATCCTTGATTACGGACAATAGTAGTAAGTCCATCCAATGTGTTTCTGTATCTCGTATCACCCTGGATTGTTGAACACTGAAGACTTTCAACCTGTAGGGTAACATTCAAAAATTACTTCCTAGATGTGTCAATCACAAACTAGGTGCCAATGGCAAAGAGGAGAGAGACACTAATGATTCGATATGTTTAATATCAACAAAACACAGAGCAAGTATCTCAGGTTGAATCAGACTACTTCCAATTTCCAAACCAGTTTATTTAACTAATAAGGTTAAATATATCAAGCACTTACTATAGTACATGTGTACCTCAAAACATGGGAAACAGCCCACAAAAGTTTCCATGTTAACAATAACACATGAAAGAGACATCATTTGCCAATTCCCAACAAAATAGAATAGTAATTACACCCTCCTAGAAGTGTACAGCTACTATGGCACAATACCTGCATCTGTCTCCTTACAACATCTAATGGATATGTGAAGGTCTGCCCAAGTAAACCAGCCAGTGCTCCACAAGAAAGACGCATCACAATGGACTTTTGGTGCTCTTCAGGAACATGCGTCTTTAGTTTCTCATAAATGTAGAACTTTAAACCAGCATAAGGGAGGATCCCAGTGAGTGTTGGACCTATGTAAAGCAAAAAGTTTCATTAAGCAGGCACAACTTGAAAAGAAAACAAGTAAGATGCAAAATGAAGCAACTAAAGTATTAAAAAAACATTTCAGGATTGCATGTTAAAATTATGAATCTCTACTATCATGAAGAGGTGAAGATGCTTTAAACAAGACAACAAGAATGATTGTGCGGCTTATAAAAATAACTTACCCACAAAACTAGAAGCCTTTGTCAAATTAACAAATTCATTCTCAATCTGTAATATGAAGCATTAAAAACAACTGCCTACATACCTACACCTCGATATAATCTGCGTATTCCTCCTTCCTTGTAAACAGTTGTCAGCACATCCGTTATGCCACTATATGCAGGTCGAGGATATAAAGTTCTTATACCACACCCGAAATTTGTTCTGGTGTCCACAACCTGTTGAACCATAAGAGTTAATTGGAAAGGTAAAATAGAGTAAATAACATTCATTTCCTTCAGTAATCCAATTTATCCAAGGAGAACATGATAAGCAGTGACATTTATCCAAGAAATGGGTTTCATTGTTCCCAAAGCATCAATTCTTTACTGCCACGAGTTCATTTAAAAAATCTTCCATTGGGAGCGAATGCCATGAGTACTTTAGTAATTCAAATCCACAAACAGAATCAGCAATTACATGACAGTAAGAATAGATTTGATTAAACTAGTGTAAAAAGATGACTCAAGTACTTTATTGTAAATATCAGCAAGCCAGATCAACTCAGTTGAAAATTGGAGAAGGATTCAAAAATAATTATGAGAAACTATGCTTTTCTTATGAGAACTTCTTACCTGATAAGCAAGTTTAGTACGAGCCAAGTCCAACGGATAAGTGCATAACACTGCTGTTCCTCCAGAAGCAGAACCAGCTAAAAGATCTATAATGGGCCCTGATCCCAAGAAAGAAAAGTTATCTGAGATCCAACCCCGATACTGCTCGTAAGTCATGAAATGTAAGGCTGCATAAGGAATGATCCGGATAACACTGGCTCCATTTCCTCTGCGAGTAAGAGTGGACATGAATTAGTCTAACTTCTATGGGAAGGCAGAGATAGAGGAAATGATAAAATAATCTGTAAACTTACTTATAAAATCCAAGAAGACCTTCATGCTTTAGTACCTTCCTTAAGGATTTATACACCCCGTGAGATTGGAAACCATCAGTCCTTGTCTGTACAATAGAGAGAGAATCTTATGAAAACTGCAATTGGTAACATGCATGAAGCTGAAAATATCAGTGGGGATAAACAAAGAAAGCAACAAATAGTCAAGTAGGTTCCTTGACAATCATCCACCAAGCACCAGAGTAACAATATATACATATAACTAACCCTTAAGCACCATTGTAAATGAAATTGATTTTGCAGAAAAATCACTTACTCGATTGTAATAGGACTACTCCACAACTTATTAAGCTCAGCATAGCAAAATGATAAAATAGCAAACACCATATTTTGGTTTGTAATTATGAATGCTGCTAAAATCTAAAAAAGAAAAGCAACGTAGATAAATCAGGTGGCTTACCTGCAATAGTATTTTAATCCGTTCTAAAGGTGCAACAGTAGTTTTAGAAAACGCTCCAGCAGCACCTCCGGCTATTAGCTCTTTCACATAAACAGGCAAACAATCAATGCGGGAAACCTCTCTGCCTGCAGTTGAACCATCAACAAGCCTGGCCATGTTTGTTGTCAATGTGGAGCCTTGAGGAGAACCCATCTCAAAGTATCCAACTCAAACCAATTATGTTACCAAAATCTTCCTCAATTCAACAAATCTGTCAAATTGTATAATTACCCACCCTGAAGCTTGAAGAACTCTTTATCCCATCTTTCTCTTGGGATACAAAAAGAAAATGATTTCTGTTCAAAGGGTAGATTCAATGGCCTGAGAACATCCAGATGAGAGTCGGGCAAGTTCACAAGCCGTTCCTTTTCTTCAATAACAACAAGATACATCCAAAGATACAGAGAAAAACAGATAACACAGATTGCCAACCCAAAACCTACCTTTCAGTTATAACAGTGCTCCCATGGGATCTATAACATAAAAACCTTCGACACCCTCAACCTAGATTCATCAAAACGTCTCCTTTAAAGTACCCACATCCACCACTTTCAAGGCATAAATAACATAACCCTCAAGAACTCCAAAAACCAATCTATTCAAAGAGTTTCCGACGATTCCAGGTTCAAAACATTCATACCCATGTGAGACTAATCCAAGGGTGTTCAGAAAACGTACCAGGAAGGAAGAACAAGCATATAAATATTGGGTAACCAGAATCTATAAATACTTGTTCTCCTTCAGAGGAAGAGGAGTAGGTTTCCTTCTTGGGTTTTTCTTCCCCCTTCGGCCCTTTCCTTCCGAAAGCCCTAGTTTATTTTATCCTTCTTCTTCTTGTTTTTTATTTCAAAGGCGCTGTTTTGTTGAAATTTTTAAGGGTGGCTATGTAGTGTGACTATGACTCATTAAGCTCGGTGGATCTTCAAACGTAACCCACGCAACACACGTTGCATGAATGTATAAAACCTAAATTTTTTATAAAAAAAAATAATAATAATAATCCTCAAAATTTTTAATAAATGTATTTTATTATTTTTTATAGTAATATTTTTATTTCTTAAAAATAATTAGATAGATTAAATTAATTACATTTATTATATTTAATATTCAATATTTTTACCTTTTATGAATAAATTACAATTAATTTGGTAATAATGCATATTAAAAAAGGACTCTAAATAAAAAAAATTGATTGCTCATGAATATATTTTCATATTTTTTATTGCTTATGAAAAATTAAATGAAATTTAATGTAATAGATTATGAAATAAAATGAACCATTTAATGAGTTGACAATAGCGATATAATTAAATTAGGAAAGATTTTATTTTTCTTTTAAAAAAGATAATAGATTAAATAAGAATTCAAAATTTGTAATTTTATAGGAAAAATGCATTAATTTCATATTTTCTATTACTTATTACATTAAACGATTAATCATAGTAACTTTTTAATACATTTACAATAATATTTCTTGATAATAATATAAATACAAATATTCTTAAAAAAATATTAAGTAATTCAAATTTCACTATTATCTAACTTTGTTTTATTACAATTTTATCTCCATTATCTTATAAAAATTTTATTTTGCAGTATTGCTTACTATTTTTTGTAAGTTTATTGAAATTTTACTTTTTTTTTTTGTTTGAGCAATTGTTAATTTTATTTTTAGAATAGTAATTTTTATCAACTATATATTTTAGTATAATCGTTTTCTTTTCTAATTTATAATTTAAAGGTGAATTATATATGTGTTGAATATGATGTTGCTAAAGAATTATATTCTTTTGCGAGGTATTAATTAGTATAGACTTAATGAATTTCATTTATTTTTTGAGATTACTTGATAAAATTATGTTGATTTGTAAAATTTTACAATCATATGTCAAAGACGATTGATTAATTTGAATGCTATTATATTAGGTGATTATGCATTGATTAGGAGCCAAATTATAAAAATTCTCAAATATTGTATTTTAAGCCAAATCGACCTTAAAATAATATAATTGATTATGAGCTGACTAAATATCAATTGGGTTCAATTGAAAATGAAAAAATAATTTTATAAGTTCTCTTATAAAATTATTTTATAAGTCCTAAAATTTAAAATATACAAAAACTGTAATTGAAACTTTATACCCAATTTCTTATATTATTTATATATATATTTTTAGATAAATATTCTTAATCCAATTTATTTTTTAAATAGATACTTTAAGATACCATATTGATATGCCACAAATTCATAACCAAAACACACACAGCATTAAAATAAAAATACTAATGGTTTGGTTTTAATATAAGTTTAACTACTTCATAATATAAGATATATATATATATATATATATATGAAAAATTATTAAATACATTGATATTGGAGTTTTTTAACTCTATATATAAGATTAAGACGGTGATACATGTCTCTTATATATTTTAAAAAATTATTTAAAAAAAAAAAGATATATGTCATTATCTTAACTTCGCTTGTAGAGTAAAAAATTTTATTGTCAGTATATCAAATAATTTCTCTCTCTATATATATATTAATTCTACTTCTTCATCTATTTTAAAAAAATATACGTACAATTAAGTTATAAATTTGATATAGTAATATTACAAAAGTTTTCATACAATTAATATCAAATTTTATTTTCACATTGATTTCTTAAACATGTAATTTTATCTATTTAAATATTTATATATTCCTTTAAAAATTGATGAATATATATGGTATTAGATTTAAAGTGACAATTATACGTTAAATATTCAACATAGATTTACTTGAAATGAGTAGAGGGTTTTTAATTGTTATAAGTAAAATTGGAATTACTGATTTTGCCTATATCTTTAAAAAAGCAAAGTAACAAATTATATTGTTGATTCTTTAACAAAAATGGAAGTGAAAAAAATGAAATTATTTTATGCGTGTTAGTATTAGACTCCAAAGAGGTTAGGTTGCGTTTTTTTTTGTTTTTTTTGATAAATTAAATTGTGTATTATCAAGTGTTGTTATAATTGTTTTTCTATTCATACTTTGGAGCTTTCTCTGGTTAAATTTTTAAGTTTTATAATTATTTGGTTTTATAAATGAAATTATATTTTTGAGTGAGAAAAAAAATCTATATCACACATTTTTTTTTGTTTTTTACTTTTATAACTTTATTTTAATAATCAAATTAGGGTTATTTATTAAATTATAAACAAAATGATGATAAAAAATTATTTAAGGTGACTTAAGTTTTTTATCAACAATTACATTATTTTTGTAATCATAAAAATAAAATTTAAATTGTTCTCTAAAATTATAATTATATTAAAGTTTTTAATAATATTATATTACAAAAAAATTATAGGTACAGTTACCTCGTACATAATACAAATATAAAACTTTAAATGTTCAAATAAGTAATATTTGATAATTAATTTTTTGAATTAAAAAAAATAATTTTCTTGACTTTAAAATTTTGAAATTATATAATATTTTTAAATGTTTGATAGAAATTAAAATTTGACTTTTCAATACTATAAAAAATACAAGTATATTAAATATAACCATATATTTATTATGCCAATATAACCTTTCACTATTTTATTCATATAAATTTTTTAAAATTAATAATATTATATATAATAAAAATTATTGTCGTTTGCTTACTAATGCATAGAACAGGCTTAAAACTAGTATTACTGTACGGTTAGTGATTTCATTTACGGCGCAATAACCTAGGCCTGAAGATCGCTTTATTTAGATGGACGAGGATGTCGGTTTTTAACGTTTGATTTGATAACCTTGACTTACAGTTTCACAGTTCTCTTTTCTCTTTTAATCGGTTACCGTGTAAAATTCAAAATAAAATTTTAAATTTAATTAAATTGATTTATATAATTATTTTAAAAAATTAATATTTATTAAAATTTTAAGTTTAGTTCTTATTGCTTGCATTTTTTTTTTTTAAAGAAATTTACAACAATTACTATTGAGTTTTTTTTCCAACGATAGGATATTTTAAGTTCTTTTTTCTTTAATAGGGGTAATTTTAAACTTATTTACCTAAGTAAGGTACTTTAAGCTACATCATCATCTCCTTCCTTCAAGCCTTTCCTTTCTCTTTCTACCTACTGTGTTTTTGTCAAAAATCTCATGAAGAAACCCTTGATGTAATGGATTGAACTGAGGGATAAGGTTGATGTTTTCTTCTCAAGGAGATTTATCAAACAATGGAGATTTATGAGATATTATATATCCTAGGCATTCCCTTTTCCAGTTTCAAATGGTATCTAAATATTTGTTGAAAATTCTTGTTGATTAAAACTTAGATCCAAGAACTCAAGTATCCATTACTTTTGTTTTAAAGAAAGTATTTTATTAAGGAATTATGGAGTGCTTTTAAAATTAGAGGGTTGATTGGGAAATAGAAGTTGAGTTTTGTGGCTGAATGAGAGGCTAAAAATACTAATTCTTTAAAAAGTAATTTCAGAGTTAGAGCAAGAAGAAGTGCCATCTTGGGGCTTGTTGATAATGGTGTGGGGATCTCAGAGCATAAAACCGTCAAGGCATTGGTTTTCGATTTCTCCAAAGAACATTTTGCAGCTGATTGGTGGCATAAGCAGGTGGTAACTAACTTGAAATTCAGATTGTTGTATGGTGATTTGGAGATTCTCTTTTCTATGGAAGAACTCGAAGTTGCTATTTGGGATGGTGAAGGTCCAAAAGTGCCTGACCTTTTAACTCCAATTTTTTTAGAAGAACTTGGCGAGTTCTGAAGGTTTATCTCCTAGATTGCTTAATGAAATTTCATAAAACTGATTCCAGAAGATTTAGCAAAAGCAGAAGTCGATATAAAGAGTTGAGATGTTCATGGCTTGGTGGTTAACAGTTCTTGTTTGCAAGTTTGTTTCTGATTTTGCTTGGTTATGCCCAAGCTCTGTATTTTCTCTGTGTTTCCTTGTTGATGGTTGAGAATCTCTTTGAGGCATTGGCCTCCTGCTATAATTTTTCTTTTTATTCATTATTAAAATCCCAACTCTACCAAAAAAAAAAATCATTATTTTTATTAATTTTTATATAAATTAATAATGATAAAGATGACGTGGCATGTTGACATGTCTAAAATACCTTAATTTGAGAAATAAGATTAAAATTATCCCATTTTAAGAATAAAGATTTTAAAATACTTTGGTTTAGAAAAAAACTCATTACTGTTTGTGACGCTCCTGCATAAATTACTGGCTTTGAAGAATTCTATATATCCACTTACCATATTTGAAGAAAAATAAAGAAAAGGTTATCCATATACCTTGTAATTCAAGCAAGCTCGTTGACTAGGAAAGTAAATTCGCACTAATGCAGGAAATTCAATTGTCTTTAATTTGCATTTGGCCAACAGAAACAATTGCATTCTTTCAAAAAACAACACGAATCTATGCCAACTACCTTTAACATGGATTCTCCACTAACATAAAGAATCTTCTTCCTCGTTTCTTGTTGTCCCTTTCTCCTTATCTTGATCGGGAATCGTCGTTCTAGAAATGGATATGGTGCCCGGGGTCTTGGGATGGTATGCTGAAACTGTGTTAGCCTTGCCATTATAGATAACACCACCATCATCGTCATCGTAATCATCGGATGGAACTTTACATTTTTCCCCTAATATAATTGTCTTTGTCCAAACAGAATTTTCAGCTTTTGATCTCTTTTTCTCTAGAATCTTGCTCACCGAAATGCTTCTTGCGTACTTCACGCTCAAGGTTGAGCTTATTTTTCGTGTCGACACGGATTTTGTCATGAAATTTTTGCAAGAATAGGTCTCATTTAATGCCCTCATTCCGGGTGGTGGGGGCAATTCTTTGATTACTTCAT